ACAAAGTGCAAAACAACACTGGCAGCAAAAGCTGTTGAACAATTTGAGATCTAAGTACTGAATTACTGTGCTTCTATGGATTAAATTAAGTTAATGATTCTAAATGTAATTCCTGGATTCTTTTGGAATGGTAAAATTGCTTGCAAATGAGTATTTGATTTAGAATACAATTTTCATTAGTACTGCATCCCTTGGAAAAGTTCTGTAATCAAGAGAGACAGCACTGATGAGGAATTTGGGCAGAGAGGAAGAAGTGCATTTGTTCTGAATGTAAATTAAAGTAATTGGAATATATGGATATTCTAATCTAAAAGATAAGAGGGACAGTTATGCTATTACATTATACAATGTTTCTCCCAAAACTCAGTCTTGGATCTTGACCAATTTTATGGAGTAATTAATTTAGCAGTTCAGGCATTAAAAAAACAAAATCCACAACCCTCAGCAGTGGGAGATTCTTTTCACCTCACAAATACTGCTATAGCATGGTTCAATCTTCCTCTCAGAAACAATGCCGATCGGTTTAAAAGCAAAAGTTCAGTTAATTATGAAACTGTATTCTCCAAGGAAAGCTGAAATACAGGAATATATTTACTGTCTTTTTACTCTCCTCACGGAGAACTGAATTGAGTTCTCGGCATTACTCTGCAATAGGGAGCCTCAGGCATGACCAAGGCATTTTCAATAGTAAATGATTTAGCAAATCTAAGGTCATATATATAGAAACTACAGTCACACTGTGGTGTTATCATAACATTATCAGTTTTGTTAGCATTCTATCCTGCTAAACAGCACCTGTAGCACTTGCCATTCTGAAAATCAGCATAATATAAAGGTAGAAATTGATTGCTAAAATAAATGAACGTTCTGCATTTCACATTCTGTGAAACACTTCTGCCTCATGAGCTTAAAGGTACTCCAGGAAAATCTAAGAAAGCCACAGGGCAGTACCTCCTCCATTACATAAACAGTGGAGTAGCCAAGCTGGGTCACTGTCCCCTTGCCTGCACAAACATGTCACTGTAGGCTTGGTACGAGGCACAGGCTGGAATTTTTCCAGTATCCATCATCACATATGAATCTTCACCTGCATCCCAGAGAACACGAATGAGAACCATCAGTAGAACTGCTGGACATTGTTTAATACAGCAGAGTAGTGACACTCTACAGGCATCATCCAAGACCATATTTTAGGTGTCCTTTGGGTCACTGCAGGCATGTAAGAAGGTGACTGTCACTTTCCCACCTTGTGCTATTCCTGAAAGCTAACCTATTAAATCCATTGATTGACGGGGGCATGGTAAGAAAGAATTATAAGAAAGCTATCAGCTGTAAGTGGATTAAGACTATTTAGCTACCTTTCACATTCTCACATGGCCTTAAATATTGCATATTTAAGTACAATAAAAATTCATTTGTGTCCAGATGTGCTGGTTGGCTGGGGCATTCCCTCTGCACAGCCCCAGAGCCAAGAACCACATTTCATTCCAGCTTCAGACCTTACCATTATGATTTGCCTTTCTGGGTCAGAACAGGGCTTCATTCACACTGACACTGAATTTCAGCATTGCATTTCCATGCACACCCAGGTCTCCCAGTGTTTGTGTGGAATACATTAACTCTCGCATCAGTTCAGTTATTCTGGGTTTCTACATACACAGTGAATATGTGCATCAATTCAAACAGGCTATAAAGTAACTGCCTGAGGTAAGCCTGAGCCTCCCCAAACCACAACCGCCTAGCTGTGATTTTAAAATTTCATGGGCATACACAGCCTGGAGTATCTTCCAAAACTGCCTGCTGAGAAGCTCAGTTCAGTTACTAAGAACTAAGTCTGAAACACAGTATTCAGCAGGAATGTCCATGTATTACTCTTTTAACTTCCCTGGAGAGATCTGTAATGAAAGAACATTAAAAATTCTCACTACACTGATCTTAGGAAATCTTTTGTAAAATCATTCTTTTCTTCCAACATACTTAGAAGCAAATCTCTAAGTAGCAGCATCCAGGGCATCAGCAAGAGCAGACGTACAGAAAGGCATGCACAGACAGGAACAATTTTTCGGGGAGCATATCAAAGCACATTTACTGCCGAATTCAGTGCCCCGAACACACCTAATTCCAGTAAGTGAGCAACGGAAATTGGTAACGAGAAAGGGCACCTATGTGTTTAATGCCCTAGAAATGAAGTCGAACAGGGCTGACAGGATTCACTTACGTCGACTAGCGTTACCCTGTCACGAAGGAGCACCACCCTAATGTGCCGCGCTTGCACCGGTGCACTCTGACCACGGCGTGGTGCTTCAGGACCGCAACAGGCAAACCTGCTCGGCTCACAGCGTCCTGCAGGGCGAATTTGTTACTTACTGCTAAAGGCTGTTGTGGGAAATCACGCCTTTTCTCTACACAATTTCACTCGCGCGGACAAAATCTACAGTTGCTGAGAATTAAAACAAAACCAGTGACTGACGCCTGATAGTGTTCTCACACCAAAGAGAAGCAGTGACCTGCACACAGCCTGGCTGCACTCGCAGGACCAGCCCAAGACATCTGTTGCCTCGACATATAACTTGTAACTCTTGACAAGTTAGGAAAATTGTTCTATAAAATAAAATCGTATGCCTGGTTCCAAGCTGGACTGTAAGATCAGCAGGAATTCTGGAGTTCTCTTAAAGTTGTACTTTAGAAGTAAATTTCCTAGTAGCCACTTAGGAGTAGTACATGTCGTAGGTACACTACTAAAAATATACCCATGAAGCCACTGTTTCACAGTATCATTGTTTGGTTGATATTCAGACCATTCCAGCATGAAGCTGTGGGAATAGGGCAGAGGTTGTGATGCAATCTGTCAAGTCATCACACATGACTGATTGGTTTCAGTCAATTTTTAAAGCAGAGGGTGTTGGGAGAAAATACAAAACAAACCTAAAATGTAACAGAGAAGTGGACCAGGAAACATACAGAGTGACACAACTCTACATTAACATGGTGAAACATGGGCTGAAGAAGATGCAGTAAAAGAGCTGGGCCCGTCTCATGAAGTCTGTGATGAACTGCAATAAACCTCACCTTACCTTAAGGACAACACAGGGGCACGACACTCCTGTGTGTGTCTTCACATAAAAGGTCTCCATGAATTCCAGCATGATCAGGAAGCTCTTCTACCTGGATACTGTAGCTGCAGGAGCTGAGATAAGGTGTAGGATAGTCAGGGCCAGTGATTTCTCCTATGCTCTCCGTAAAAACCTGACTCTGACAGTGGCCTGGGTAAAAACCTTCAACCAAACAGCAGGAAATTATGACCATTGGTGCATTAACTGAGTTTGGATGCACTGGGTAAAGGTAGTTTTCTACGCTTGTCTATGCCTTCATGAAAGTTCTGGAGCCACATATATACCTGTCTCTCTTCCTCTCTCACAGGAGGCCTAGGGCACCAGCACTACCCAGCACTCCTGCTTCAGGTGAGGGACAGGGAAGGACCCTGGGAAAGTACCACTGATGCAGCTGCAGGGCTGGACAGCAGAAATAAGTGTGATAACTGGAAGCTCTTCAGAAACATTCCAAGGTATTAGATTTGCATCTTGTCTGCTGCCCCAGAGTGTGTGGAGTGGTAAGATAGATATCAGCTCCTCAATTCCAGAAGCCTCTGAATGCAGCTCTTTTTAATGCCTGTTTTGCCAGACATTTAGAATGTAATTCTATTCTTCCAGCAAAACCAGCTGTGCCTCTTGCTGACACAATTGGAGCCACAAATGCTCCCCTCTGAAAAGAAGCAAGAAGGAACAGCCACAACTGCCCGGAGGACCTCTGCTTGTTGACAGCATCTGATCACTGTGAAGTGGTGCTTTGATCAGCTGGGAACAAAGGCTTTATGATGTGCTGCAAAAGCTGTATGAGCAACCCTGTAATTGATGAGGCATGCTGGACTGCCTGATAACACCACAGATTTTTTCACTATTCTGACACTGAATTAATTGCAAGAGGGAAATTGGTTGACTTCAAATTGAATCAAACACACCATACTAACCTCCATGAGCAAAAATGCCATTATCCAGGCATTAATTACAGATTGTCACCTAGAAACAGACCACACAGTTTAAGGTTGCCGTTTTAATGGAAGGGAAACAAGTTGTGAATTAGTTAAGGGATGTTACTGTCCCTTAACTAACCATTGACTTTGTAAGCCAAGATTCTAAGCTTTCTTTTATTTCAGAGGGAGAAGCTTGTTTCCACCCTATGTCTATGTCAGCCCTGCTTGCTACTACAGGAAATATTTGAGTTGCAAGCATTTACTGGGAAAGGAAAGAAGGAACAGGTAAAAAGGATAATATTTTGTTCTATGTTTGTGTGACTCAGCTCAACTGAAAGATCCCGGTATAAGTCATAACACCTTTGGGCACCAAGTGTTTCTTTAAGTACAAGCTGTAATTTCAGAACAATGTTTCTATGACCATCTTCCCAGAAAGTAATGAGCAGCTGCTTTTATTTGACATGAACCTATTCATCACCCCAGTGACTGCACCTCTGTGTGTCCCCCTGAATTCATTCTCATAGGTTTTCAAACACAGCTTACATACATTCATATTACTTTAGCAAACACCTAGAACTCTGAGGCTTTGCTCACCAGAACACACTTCAGCCATGAATCCAGATTCTCAACGGAGAAATGGTCAAAACTGGGATTAAAAGAAATTTAGATCTTTCCAAAGAGTGAATGGGCTCTGAACAGAAAGTTTCAGTCTAGAAGTCTGGGTGCAGACAAGAGCATATCTAAAAGGAGCATTAGGGAACAAAGGTATGGTGTGGTTCTGGTCTTCTTGCTGTTTAGGAACTAAGTAAGGTTAAGCAACAAGAGCTTAAAATTCAAGACTCTTCAGGTAGCTGTGATGCTCAGGGGCCTTTCACAATAGCTTCTCTCTTACCAGTTCCTGCCTGAGCTACCTTCTTTTTTCTCAAGTGACACATGAGAACATGAGAAAATGAATGCCCCAGAGGCTGCATTCAGCTTTCAACCGGCAACAGCCTCTTTATTATCTGCAAGTCTGAAAGGCAAGGAACCACATGGACAAGTCATGGAGCAAGAGAAGCCTGCAGGCCCCGGGCAGACTGTAACAGGCAGGTCAGGAAGGAAGGAAACCAGCTCTTCCCAGCACATCTGTCTCCATCTCTGCCTAAGTGAGGAGACGCTTAATTGTCTCCTGCTGGAAAATAAAGGAGAAAAAGAGCCTGTCAATACCAGCCAGCTCAAACAGGAGCCCAAAAGACACAAGGGAAGCTTTTGCCCTCAACTCCTGAAGGAGGTCTGCAGAGACCTTTGCCTTGCAGCCCAGTGGCTGAAGCAGCTGCAGTGCTGGTTTTAAGGGCTTTGAAATGGGAACAGGTTCCAGCACATCAGGTGCATCATAGCAATTCCCAATGTCTTCACCGTCAAGGTAGCTCATCCCCTCACAATTGCTGAGCAGCTCCCGCTGCTGGAGCTCTTTCCAAGGAGGGGGCATAAATGTGCACACATGAATGGTCATTGCAGAGCTGCTCGTCTGCTAGTTCAGTTTTCCATTTTGCACCTTCACATTAAGACTTTACAGCATCAGTAAATCCATATACTCGTGCTAAAAGGCATCACCCTAGGAACGACAGATCAAATGAACATGTCTGTTCCAATACTCTGGAGGCATGAGGAATTCGAATCTTGAATCAGACCCAGGCAGCCATGGATGGAGAGAGTTTGTAATAGTCTGTTGTTGGGAAGGCAAATGCCAAGGCAGCCTTAAGCACTGGAAGTTAGATCCAATTTTGCATTTCAGCATGGGGGAGCTCAAAGAAACTGGCTTGTCGCCCTGAAAACTCAGCTTCTGAGCTTGTTAGCATAGTTTTCTAAAGACTTTCCCAGGACAGTAATTGTAAACATAGATATGTGTACATTCTTTCTGTTACACATCTTTTGATGGGCATCTCTCATGGCCAGTGCAGTGAGAAATTGTTATCCTGACCATCCAATCCCTGGCCATGGTCAAAAGCCTATAAATCCTGGGAGGAAAAATAAACTTTCTCCTTCTTTCACCACACCTCGACCTGTGTCCGTGTGATCTATTTATCTTCAGCGGTAACACTGGCTTTCACCTATGACAGCATTTATGAGCAGTATTTGTGTTGATTTTTTTCCAGACAGGATTTAGCTCCAGCTGGCAAAGCTGCACCCATAAGGGGTGAACCTCTTACCCCATGTAGGCACGTTTCACTGGAAAGGGAATCCTGAGATGCTCATTACCATGTTGATCCAGACACCTCACCGCCGGACACCACAGAAGCTTTCCCTAGTTATGAACTGTGGAACAGAGCCAGACAGCAGCCAGTGAGATAGAGCTCACACTGTCAGCCCTTCTGATCAAGAGATCCATGCCTGGCCATTTAATGTGTGGATTATGGTATCCAGTGTCAGTGATACATCAACCATGCTCCTTCTTGGCCTGTGTCCTTACAGGGTAGAAATCTAATAATTTCCTCATTAAACTTCACAACTCAATTGGTAGTTTTCCCAACCTATCTACTAACTTGGGTCCAGAATACTCGGGATCTCAGTACCCAGGGAGCAAGATAAATTCAGTTTTACAAGACTGGCTGCACTGGCATACATGAAGGCTTGTCTGTGGAAATGTCTGTGGTGGGAAGTGTGAGGCCTTACTTGATTTTCCATTCTGCTCACCTAAAGCTGAACAGAGGTGGAAAGAAGTAGCAAAATCCAAGCGGCAGTGCAGCATTTTGCTATGACACAGAAATGTCCCTAACAGCAGCCACTAGCTCACAGCCCCTCTGCAAAGCAGGACCTCTGCTCACAGCCCTGACTAAGCCTGTGACCCTCCTCCCAGCTGCACCAGGCACATAGGGAATACTAAAAATGAAAACAAAACCCCACAGCTTTGACCTTGATATTATTGTCAGGACCGGATTTAAGTGGATGTTGTAGATAGGGAAGTATCTCCTCATCTAGAAAGAGCTCACCTGTACATGTCCTCTTGTTTTCATGCAGTTTGTAGCCAACCCTGCAGCTGCAATAGTAGCCTCCCATGTAGTTGTGACAGTGATGACTACAGAGGGACTTAGTATCCAATGGCTGTTTGCACTCATCAATATCTAATGGGCAAAGCACAGAATCAGGAAAACAAGACATTTCAATGAAATGTTCTCTCAGTCTCAGCCACTCTATATTTTGTGAGGCTGGTCTTTGGCTGCTGTGCCACTCTGCATCTGCTTCTGTACAATGAGACCACCTTCTCCTGCCCCACACCAGCAGCCTCAGGCTATGAGAGCACAGGGAAGCACCAGCCTCACCATAGCTGTGGCTCTTCCATCTACAAGAGGGGCCGTTCTCTCACCTTCAGCAGCATAAAAGGCCTCAAAGCCTGTGAATGGTTTCTCATTGGAGTAATCAGACCGAAACACTACCACGAGGTGGTTGTCAACAGAGATGTACGTCCTGTTACCCGGAGCCTCCTCAGTGTCTGTACTGTCCTGTCCGCACAGCATAGCCAAGGTTTTCCCACCAGAGCTCAGCTGCAAAACAGGCAGACAAATCCACCAGATGAGCACAGAGCATTGATCTTCCCACCCTGCTGCCATGGCTGGAAATGAATGTGTTTAACAATGTGAGAAAGGAAGCTTGGATGCTCTCAAAAGGTGCTTCTGGAGGTCAGTCCACATCCAAGGCCAGATAAGAGTGGATTTCCTCTGTTCTCTGTGACTTAAGACCATAATTTTGTCTCCCTTTCTCCCATCAGAGGTCCTCACAAAGCCATGCTTTGTTTATAATATTCCTGTTAACTTGGCAGTCTCAGTGACAATCAGGTCTCAGTAAAGCCAGAGACAACTGGTGCAAAAAGGTTTCATATACTGACAAATTCAAATGTATAGAAAAAACTGTCCTTAAGCAAGTGTCTCACTTGCTCTATGATGTATGTATTAGAGTTCCAGCTCTTCATTTATCTTTAACATAAAAGTTCTGATACATGGGGTTTTATGTTGGGCATGGTGAAGAGGGAGCTGCGTATTACACACCTACCAGAAATGGATATTCTGTCATACACAAAGGAAAGCACATGAAGAACAGAAGACATTTGGGGGATGGGAGAAACTTGCCATATAAAACCATGGAAATGAGATTTTTCTCAGTAGGAACAAGGCTGCCTGGTTCAGTTCAATCAGATGCAAAGTGAATTTGCGTACTCCCTGTGTACGCAGCTCCTACCTTATTGTACATCAGGCCCACGAAACAACAACAAAAGGAGTGCAGAGGTAGCACGGCCTCAAATCAGTGACAGACCCCGTGGACCAGAGCACACACATCTTTCATGGACACTGCTACTCCCTCAAACACTTCCCTAAGGCAGTATCTTTGTTCCTCTTCCTGAGGCTGTTTCTCACATAAGCCAGCAACACAGCAACTGATGCTGTGAGTGCCTGCTCACATGAACTGACAGTATCTTGTTTAGATGACCACTTACATTTTTTGGTCTCCCATTATAACCTGTGTCAAGTACTACTTGTTAATTTTAAACACTGCAACATTAGCAAAATGCTCAAATATTGTTTTGGGCAAAATTTCAAACTTTTTGCTTCACAACAGAAAAGCATCAGAATTTTCTGAGCAAAAACATTTCATGTTTCAGATGTTCCAACGTGGCAACCACATCTGCTTCCTGGTCCTGTAGGCCTCAATAAACACATAATTTAGAAACCACCTGAGCCTGAACTTTAGAAACAGACTGAAATCAAGAGCTGACAAAGAGTTGATTCTGCATGTACCCAGGATCACATAAACTTTTAACAGGTGCATCTGCTACATGTTACCCCATCCTACACATACCTTCACATAATCATATTCACACAGGTAGGACAACTCCAGGTTGAAATGGGTGAAGTAAATGCGGACAGAATATCCTTTGGGGACAGTAATATTCCATATTTTCTCCTTATGATTTGGATAGACCTTTGGGAAGTTTGGGGATGTGATCCTCCCATACATTTTCTGTGGCACAGTGTTGCTCCTTACTCCACTATAGAGCACAGCCAGCAAAATAAACAGCCTGTGTCAAAGGGACAGAGATTATCAGAGAAGGAGTGAGCATTAACTTGGATCATACCCCAAAAGCCACATATCCTAGTTGCCCCTCTCGATACCAAATCAGGTCACTCAGTGCTAGCTGCAACCTGCATGCCCAACACCTTCCTCACTTAACAATGAAAACAATCAGGAGTTATCAGTTGGGTCATTGTAGTAATTAGTAAACAAGATGACATTCATGCTCATGCCTTCCAGACCCTGCACAAAGCCAAGTGGACAGAGGAGCTGGAGGTGACTGCACTCACCTCATTCTGATGCCTTCCTGTCTGAGCCTGTTCTGCTCTGAGCCTTGGAGAAGGAATCCTTTATCGTGTATTTGCATTTGGGGGTGGATGTATTTATTGTGTGTGCTCTGCTGTGTTTGTCTGGATGTTGAACCCTTATGTTTATCTCCCTTCCACCCCCTTCAGCCTGCTGAGTTCTGGGAACAGCAATCACTAAAAACCAGGCTCTGGTTCAGGTTTCAGTCAGTGACACGGAGAGGCAGGCAGAGATGGAGAGGATGGGTTAGGAATGCTGCAGGCTCTTGGAGGGAGCCATAATATCACTGCTCTGTGGGAAGGCAGGCAGTGGGAGGAGGTGGCTCCAGACAGTATCTGTCCTGGTGAGCAAGGGGAGCTGACAATGCTCTTTCCCTCTGAACAACTGATCCACATTTAATGTTAATGCAAACAGCATGTTACAGGAATTCCATTCCAGGATTCCATTATCAGAGCACAAAGATGTTGGAAACAATAATGGGGCACATTACAGGATTTTAGAATAGTGATGAGTCTGGTTGGATGGTTCTTTGCAATGGGACAGGAATACTTAGGGGACATAACACTACAGTACACACAAGCAGCAGTTTCAGAGATGCCAAAGTCTTCCAGTTCTCAGCTGCAGATTTTAATCCAGTGCATGCTTGTGGTGACAGAAACCTACTCCGTGCCTTCTTCATACACATGGACTGCTTTTTAACCTGCCCATCCTGGAATACCCACAAGGTAAAAAGTCACACTTAAAAAATACTCAAATTTTCTTTTAAATATTTGTGGATGCACACAGGGGTTTCACACTGCCCAGGGAATTCAGCTGAGCAAACACTATGGGACACAAAGTTTTATTAATTCCTCTGCATGCAGACTGCTTCTTTCCAAATCAACATTTAGGTTTCCCACAAAACTTCTATTCCAGCACACGTGGAGATAGGCCTAATAAATAGAGGGTGAAAACCCAGATATATTAAAGCTGAGCCTGTGTCCATCTCTGGACATAGAATGGACAGAATTGGAAAACCAATCGGCAGCAGGGAACACACTGTTGGATTGCACATGCAGGAAATTTATCCTGAGATATCCTGTAATCAAAGGGACACCTTCACAACAGCCAAAAATCATTACCCCAGGCAGTGAAGCTGGTGCTGGCAGGAAAGCAGGAGTTATTATATGAACAAAACTAAGGACAACAAATCATTCAGAAGACTGCGAGCAGAAAACACCACTTAATAAAAGTGAAGGGAAAAGTACTAGCAGTAGTAATTGTGTAGCAGCAATACCTACGAGCACAGCTAATGGACAAGAACCAAGAGGACACTGACTTTTCCCATGGCCCACTAGCTGCTAAAATGATCCTATCAACAAAGATAGATGTGGACTCAATACTATCTGGAAATGAGGGAAGAGACAGAAAATTTTGAAAAAAAATCAGTCCATGCCTGACTGAGCTGCTGCCTGATTTCCATAGGCATAAATACTTCCAGAAGCATCCCACTTCGGGCTTCCTGCTCAGATCAGTAGCAGAGGAATGGAAAGTCAATTCTGATCTTAGGTCTGAAAATTTTCTCACAGCCCAGAATTTGCTGAGTGCCCTGAGGCTGATAGTTGCTGCTGAGCACTGAAACAGGACAGCTGAGTTAATAAACTGTTATGCTGGAGCCTGAGAAATTGAACACTTGGTGCACACATTGGCCTTCCTCTGGCATGGTTTCTGGAGAAGCACCTGAGGTAAACAAGGCCAAAAATATTGTTCCTGTTTCTTTGCCCAGAATTCTTTCACCTCCAAAATGCTGCTGGGGATTAGCTCATAAGCATTTTGGGAGCACTGATAGCTATTCAGGCCCCTTAGATGCTCTTCCTGCCCACAATTTCTCTTTGGCACAGTACTAAGCCAGCACAAAGGCTGAGTGGACTTCATCCACATCACTGCAGCTTCCAGTGCCCTGTTACTTGCTGAGTTACCAATCCACTTCAGGAAGTTTGGGTGTTACCAGAAATGACGGATATCTCCTGATAAGTTTGCCCAGTTGTCTTGTGCTCCCGTCTCCTTCCATGCTGAGAGCTGACTGAGGTAGCCTCATTCTCAACAGAAACACCAAGCTAAGGTTTAGTGAAAGGACTTACCTTGAAAAAAAACCCAACTACTGACAGTTCTGACGACTTCTGACAGTGACACTGAGATGACCTCATCTGAGCCCATACTTTCAGACCCTGCACAGTCTCTCAAAATATGCTTTTACTACTCTACATTGAGGATTCTCAAGGAAGGGTTTCAAATTGCTCCTTTGGAAACAGTGAGTGTAGACAGCCAAGTCAGACACATGATTAAATCAGCAAAAGCAGAGCTGCTCAGCCAGCACAGTGCCTCAGGCTGGTACCACTAAGATCCAGAGACCTGAACTCCACTTTCCCTGCCAACCTAGACAGTAGCAGAAACTAACTGAAAAAATGAGAAGGCTGGGAAGCAGGGCTGTCACCAACATGCTGTGAGATTCAGGCTAAGTCACAAGGTAGCTCTTCAGTTCAGATTTCCCTCTAATCCCAAGTTTTCAAACTGCAGAAATGTTACTTCAGGTAGGTTCTGCCTAAGATGTGTTTCTACTTAGAGTTTAAGCTGTGACAGACTCTGAGACCTTCTAAAAATAAAATCAATATAGCCCCACTACTGATTTAATCAAAAAAGTCCTAGACAGCTCAATTCTCAAATGGACCATGTAAAGCCACAGTGCTTCTGAAAATCAGCTTGTGCAAGGTACAAAACCACCTCTGGGCCTTTGAAAGGCAGCTTCTGTATTCTGACAGCAATGCCACAAAAAGCATTGTAAAAACTGATTGGTATTTCAGGCGTGATAAACAGGAGAGTGAAGGTCTGGACATGCCTCCAGTTCTGAAACACAGGTACAGTGCCAAAGCAAGAGGCTGGTTAATGAATGAAGGAAAATCATGCACAGCGAAGTCATCTAACAGAGCAGAGCTGTCCCTGCATCAACCAGGAGAGCAAATGAGCACAATAGCTGTTTGCTGTGATCCCTGAAGACATTGCTCCCGCCTGCCCCCTTCTTTTTAAATGCCAGCTGCCTCTGCAGAGCTCTAAGAGATTGCTTGGATGCTTGCTCTTGCCTGGTTAAATCCCATCCTTTTGCACTGAGGTGTTCAGAGGACGAGGGGAAGGAAATAAAGCAGAGGAAAAGATGTTCTGTTTCCTCATTACAAATCAAATAGTATGACTCTCATCAAAAGACAAGCACACAGATGGAGCAAGCAGAGCTTAGAGTGGGGCAGGGGGAAGAGCCTGGTTGCTATGAAACAGGAAAAAAATAGTCTTGCCAGGGGAAAAATAGCAGGCAGAGAAAACTACTGCAATGGGGGAAGATACTTTGTTCACTTAGGACACCCCTTCCTCCTTCCCATGCTGTCTACTGCTATCTCATTGCTGCACATTCTGTTTGCAAAGACAGACTCCAGTTGCTACAGAGAGCTGGGGGACATTTATCCAGCAGCAAAAAACACACTGGCCTTGGCCTCTCTACTCTGCATGTGCTGGCTTTCAAAGGACAGCCAATGAAATTCTACAGCATCATCCTCATCGGAAAGCACTTGGATTTGAGCTCAGATTGTCTAGGAAGATCTACAATAATTCTGAGGTAAAGATACTGGTTGACAGTTTTACTCCTCTGGCATTAGCAGAGCTTGCAAAAGCAAAGATGATCATCATGGGTGTGGGACTAGTCACAGGGTGGAAACGTGATCTCTCCAGGACCACCACAGAGCTCAGAGTGCAAAGCACACACAAATTATACCATGAATATGTACATACTGAAAATGATAATGTGTAATTACATGCATAAGTTCTGTTCAACTGCAGAGCTGCAGAATCTAACACGTAATTTTCACCTGTGCCAGCCCATCTCAACCAACTGCATGGATGGCTGTCTGTGTATTTATGCATGTGATTATACAAATTCCAGGCGCTGTCAGCTCACCTGAATTCACCTCCCAAATGTCTAACTCGCTGAGACTGGAGGAAGCAGTAAGTTCCTGAGGCTCTCTCTCTTCTCAGGAATAGGGAGAAGCTGACAAACATGATGAAGAATAGGCTTGAACAGCATCAGGATTAGCAAACTCATTAAACCAACTTCCAACAGGTTCCTTGTCCATATACACATACAAATGCATTTTCTACTGTCCCCTGTTCAAACCAAAAACATTCTTCCCCATTTCTCTTCCTCTGAAATTGTCCATAACCTCAATTTGTTGTAACAAAAAGGCTATTACCCCACTAATATAGACAAACAGCAAAGACAGTCCAAAACATTTCCAAAAACAGTGCTACTGCTAAGACATTAAAGAGCTAGTATGATACACTGAAATGAAAAAATCTTCTGTCCAGCTATATCCCTCACTGAATACACACAACTTCATTCTTGCCTTGGAGAAAATAAAATGAAGGCGTGTTAGAGTCAACAGTTGCATCAATCAGAACCTGTATACTAAAATGCTGGTAGCACTCAACTGAAAAAAAAACCAATACTGCAAAGCAATCAGCTGTGCTAAATTTTGCTGACCACCTCAATGAAATAAAATGTTTTTTCCAACTATTTCTACTTGCTCCCCTTTCAAAGAAATCTGGGCTCGCTGACTGTTCTCTTTTTTGAGGATAAATTAGGGTAACCTTCTAGGCACCTAGTACCTTCTAGATGCATTCTAGATATCCCTTCTAGACTAGGTATCTTCTAGGCGTCTCCTAGATGTTACGAAGACTGGCCTTATTTATCTTATTTTTAAGGCAGGAATGTCAAATCTATTCCAAAAGAACTGGAAGTATCAAAATCAAATGATGTCTTTCAGTCTAGATGTAAGCTCATTTTTGCCAAAATTCCACCCTAAAGCTCTTGTTTCTTGCCCTAGAGAGAAAAAAGAACCTCTAGCCCAACAACAAGCCCATCAAAATGCAGGGCAAGACTTCTGTGCTGCATGGACATCTTGCTTCTCAGTTTCTCTGGCTGATTTTGCTTCTCTCACAGAAAACTCTGAAGAGTCACACAAAACACCCTTTGATCCTGTGTCCTTTTGTTTTAGGTGATGTCAAACCCAAATGAATTTGAGTGGAGATTATTAATGTTTCACAGAGAAATTTAACTCTGTCTTTTAATTGTGTTGGACACTAACCCTGTTTCCTTCTCCTCACTTTTCAGGATTGTGAAACCATAGTGCTGATGTTTTGCCAAAAGTCATGACTAAAGCTTGAACAATAGAGGGAATATGCAAAAAGAAAATAGCAGGTTTTAA